AGCACCAAAGCTTTAAGATCTCTCCAGGTGTCACCTGGAGACTGGCAACAGCTTGTCTGGAGTGTGGGCAGTATGGCATTGTATCTGTCTGAGGCCCCCCTCTTCCTCCTCCTCCTCAGACCCCACCCTCAGCAGGCTTCATCCCTAAAATATCCTGGAAGTTTCCAACCTGGAGTTGGCAACCCAATGTCCTTTCCTGGCAACCAGTTTTATAAACCTCCCCCCCCCCCACAGCCTCTGCCTAGGGAAAGGGCCGCTGACATCATTCTCCTCTCCCCTATGAGGTATGTTGCAACTAAAAATCCCAACTGCCTTGCGGGGGGGGTGAGTTTGAGGTGTGGAATGGAGTGTTGTCCAATCAGCTTCCATATGCAAATTACCTTGGAATGCTGGGCGGGACTGCACAAAGCAGCCAGTCAACCCAGCCAGTGTTACTGAGTGGCAGTTTTTCCGGCCTAACACTAAGGAGGTGAAATTTAGAATGTTCATATAGAATGTTCATACTCAATTATATATAAGGAGAGATAAAAGTGTACTTTGGTTATCTTATTTATATTGGTGTTTTCCTTGTTGAATTTAAACTGGGTAAGCTGCCTTCAAAATTTTCCTAGTTTGCAGGTGGGATCTAATTGTTTTATTACTAGAGTGAACAGAAGCTGATTTGCAGTTCTCTTTCTTAAAAAAAAAACTGGGGTTTTGTCAGTTTTACTTGTTTTCCCAATAGGTATCTGATAGACTACATCATGATTAAAAAGAAATTACCTGACTGTTCAATTTGTTTTTTAAAAGACCTTTGCACTCCTTTAAACCAGAAGGATCCGTTTAGAATGCATGCAGAATCTAGTGGTTTGTCTCATGAAGATCGTGCTACAAAAACGTTAATATTCACTCAAACCCTCAGAACTAGACTCATTATTGGCTTGGGCATTGTAACTTTACTGATGACAAAGGCTTGTGTGTGAATTGAAAAGACATGGAAGTTCTGTATCAGTTAGTGCAGTACAACATATTGCAAAGGAAATAATTTAAATTAATATAGAAAATAAAATATACTTTGGTTCAATAATTTAAGGATGCATAAAGATAATTTATATATAAATAATATGCTTCATATGATTTATGCTTTATTCCCATGCTAACTTTGTTTCTCTCATATTTTACAGCACTGATAGCCATTGGGCGATACAGTATGACAATAGAGACTGTGGATGTAGGATGGTGCAAAGAAATCACAGATCAGGGAGCCACTCAAATTGCTCAAAGTAGCAAGTCTCTCAGATACTTAGGACTGATGAGATGTGACAAGGTAAGAAGCTTTTGTATAAAAGTCTGTGTTTTCTTTGAGTGAGAAACATTCATTCCATACATTACTAAAGAAAATGACAAGTGCCATTTCTCTGATAACTGAGCTAGTGATGCTCACACACTTTTTGAATAGCAGCTACTTTCTGAATTTCCTAAACCCTGTCTTTACATATATCATTAATATAGAATCATGTTTTGTATTAAAACACAAAATATACCAGTAGCAAAAAATGCTACAGTACAACTTTCAAAGAAAATAATCACCACCTTCGATCACAAATTTCCATTGTGATAAGGTATGAACTAGAAAGCTGTGTATTGCTCTGAAGACAAAGCTTTCAATTGGCTTTGTGGTATTAAAACATCTTGCCCATTCAGAAACACATTAGTAACTTCTGTTTGCTGGGTTCTCTGTTTACAAAAATAAATTCCAAAAATGAAACTATTATGAAGCTTCTGAGTTGAAGAGTCACTATTTTTTTAAATGATGGAACATAATAACTTAAACTTGAGTGTTTTGTAATAGCCAAGAAAAGAAAAATGTGTGTACATTTCCTTTGATGAATTGGACTAAGATTGTCTGCTTAAACTGTTCAAAGGGATACTTGACCCCAGGGTTTAGATTTGACCTCTAGTCACCTGATTGGTTTTACAGGTACTTCTTTTGTGGGTTTAGTTAACGTTGTTTTACAATCAAGAAGGACATAGTAAATACAATCTATTTATCCTGTCTTGAACTGCTGAAGGCAATCAATGACCTTGATGTTGGTAAGAGATTTTAGTATATCATCCATTAAAGCATGCATACTGTACAATCTGTATTCCTTTAATTGCTGGCTTATACTTTCCTGACTTTTTACAAAGGGACTGCACGCTGTGTAGGGAGACAACTGAGCTAGCAAAAATAAAAATCTGTGAGATGGCTGCAGTGCAGATGGGGGAAACTGTTCCTGATTAATGGGGGAAATATATTGGATAACTTGATGAGAATGCCGTAAAGTGAGGCATTAGGAGGACCACTGGGGGTCATTTAACTTGCTTGTTAAAACTCTTTGTGAGAATGAGGAAAGTAGCCATAAAAAGAACAAATTTTCAGAAGCACTATCTCTGAATTTAAAATGTTTGAAATGCAGTGCTTGGCAGCTCTAAAAGCTCCATCCATCCCCATCTATGGAATAGAGAAGTTATAGAACAAAAGCACTTCATTCACTTTTCTATATTCATGCACAACTAATTTCTTTTTCCAACTACCAGCATCCAGGGCATCATTGAAGAAAAATCTTGGCGAGTAGAGACGGGTTTTCAAATGCCACTGTGACAGAAAATGTTCTTTCATACATTGGAGGGGGAGGGCAGTGTATATGGACCAAGTTATCTCCCCCCTTTTGGCTTTTTTCCAAAGTATTGTATGATGTTTGTATACCAGGTAACCACTGCATCTTGTGCATTAGATGACATTTCCTGAAATGCAGGGGAGAAGCCCATATAAACAAAGAAACAATGAACAATAGATTTTCAGCAGTCTCCACCAAATACATTTTGTGACATTATCTCTTTGGAATTTCTTTGATATGCACTTGACATAGATTTAGAATTACAAACGAGATGAGGGCCTTGCCAGAAAAGATCAGAGAAACAGCAGGGCTGGGCAAAGGCAGACTCTTGTTTGATTCCATCGATTATATAACTGCCTCCAGGCTATAGATCTCACTACTGGCTGTACTATTGATCCACACCATGAAAATAATCAAATTAATTCATTTCTCGTCAAATTGCCATTACTGTGGTCTTTTTGATATCCATATGAGCTTGCCTCTAAGACAGGCAGTATGGAAGCAACATATTCACTGTTTTCAGACAAAAAATAGCATAATAAATTTGATATCATGAGGAATGGCAACGTAATTTCTCTATTGGGTATTTTTAACATTTTAAACCCAGCTGTCTTGAATCCCAGGTTATTGCCTAGTTCAATTAATGAGGGAATCAGCTCTCAGATAGGATTGCCAATCTCCAGGTGGTAGCTGGAGATTTCCTGGGATTACAGCTGATCTCCAAGTGATAGAGATCAGTTCACCTGGAGAAAATGACCGCTTTGGAAGGTGGATTCTGTACCATTATACTCCATTGAAGTCCCTCACCTCCCCAAACCCCACTCTCCTCAGGCTCCACTCCCAAAATCTCCAGGTATTTCCCAACCTGAAGCTGGCACCCCTGCTCTCAGACCTCCTGTTGAGAAGAGCTAGTTGTAGGTCCTTGCTTGAGAGCTAGATTCTTTAACCAAGCAAATGATAACTGGCTGATAATGACTCTCTTATTATTAAAACATTCACCATAATTATTAAGGTTCTCATTATTAATGACAAATAAGCTAACACTTGCTGCAAGCACGAACTTAAAAGTGGTGTTTGGTATGTGTGTGGGACTCAGAATCATAGAATAATAGAGTTGGAAGGGACCTCCAGGATCATCTAGTCCAACCCCCTTGTTCAATGCAGGAAATTCACAAATACCTCCCCCCACCCCCAGTGACTGCTGTTCCACGCCCAGAAGATGACATAAAACCTCCAGGATATCTAGCCAAACTGGAGAAAAATTGCTTCCTGACTCCAACATGGTGATCAGCATTTCCCTGGTCGTGTGAGAAAGGGCCACAAGAACTAAGCACTGATGCAACCCTTCCTGCCCTCCCTCTCATGATCTGCCTATTTGAAGATGGTTATCATATCACCTCTCAGTCATCTCCTCTCCAGCCTAAACATACTCAGCTCCTTCAACCTTTCCTCATAGCCTCTGTTTGAAAACCTCCAAAGGAGAGCCCACCACTTCCCGTGGAAGCCTGTAACAACCTTCTGGGGCAACAGATGTACTTGAAGATGGTTATCATATCACCTCTCAGTTGTCTCCTCTCCAGGCTAAACATACTCAGCTCCTTCAACCTTTCCTCATAGCCTCTGTTCAAAAACCTCCAAAGAAGGAGAGCCCACCGCTTCCTGAGGAAGCCTATTCCAACCTTCTGGGGCAACAGATGTACTTGAAGATGGTTATATCACCTCTCAGTTGTCTCCTCTCCAGGCTAAACATACCTAGCTCCTTCAATCTTTCCTCATAGGACTTGGTCTCCAGACCCCTCACCATCTTCGTTGCCCTCCTCTGGACATGTTCCAGCTTGTCTATATCCTTCTTAAATTGTGGTGCCCAAAGCTGAACACAATACTCTAGGTGAGGTCTAACTAGAGCAGAGTAAAGTGATATCATCACTTTCCGTGATCTGGACACTATACCTCTATTGATACAGACCAAAATTGCATTTGCCTTATAAGCTACGCCAACTCACGGATGTAATTTCTGAGCCTCTATCCATTATTTTTGAGAATTCTTGGAGAACAAGTGAGGTTCCAGAAGACTGGAGTCGGGCAAATGTTATCCCCATCTTCAAGAAGGGGAAAAAGAAGGATCCGGGTAATTACTGACCCATCAGCTTGACGTCTATACCTGGGAATGTTTTAGAACAAATCATAAAACAGTCCTTGAGCATTTGGAAAGGATGACTGTGATTACTAAGAGCAGGCATGGCTTTCTCAAGAACAAATCATGTCAGACTAACTTTATCTCCTTTTTTGAGAAAGTTACTACCTTGCTGTATCAGGGGAATGCTGTAGACATAATTTATCTTGATTTCAGTAAGGCTTTTGATAAGATATCACATAACGTTGTTATCAACAAGTTGGTAAAATGTGGTTTGGATCCTATTACTGTTAGGTGGATCTGTAACTGGTTGACAATTGCACCCAAAGAGTGCTTGGTAATGGTTCCTCATCCTCTTGGAGAGGAGTGACAAGCAGAGTGCCTCAAAGATCTGTCCGTGGACCTGTTTTGTTCAACATCTTTATCAATGATTTGGATGAAGGAATAGGGAGAATGCTTATTAAATTTGCAGATGATGCTAAATTGGGAGGGGTAGCAAATACAGTAGAAGACAGAGTCAGGATACAGGATGATCTTGACAGGCTGGAAAACTGGGTTAAAACAAATAAAATTAATTTCATTGGGGATAAATGTAAAGTTCTGCATTTAGGTAGGAAAAATCAAATGCATAATTATAGGTTGGGGGAGACTTGTCTTGGCAGTAGTATGTGTGAAAAGGATCTAGGGGTCTTAGTAGACCATACACTGAACATGAGTCAGCAGTGTGATCCGGTTGCTAAAAAGGCAAATGCGATATTGGGCTGTATCAACAGAAATATAGTGTCCAGATCACACAAAGTGATGGCATCGCTTTACTCTGCTCTGGTTAGACCTCACCTAGAGTATTGTGTACAGTTTTGGGCACCACAGTTTAAGAAGGATATGGAACGTGTCCAGAAGAGGATAACAAAGATGGTGAGGGGTCTGAAGACCCAGTCCTATGAGGAAACGTTGAAGCTCTGTATGTTTAGCCTACAGAGGAGATGACTAAGAGGTGATATCATAACCATCTTCAAGTACTTGCAGAGCTGTCATATAGAGGATGGTGCGGTGTTGTTTTCTGTTGCCCCAGAATTTCAGACCAGAACCAATGGGTTGAAATTAAATCAGAAGAGTTTTCAGCTAAACATTAGGAAGAACTTCCTGACAGAGCAGTTCCTCCGTGAAACAGGCTTCCTCAGGAGGTGGTAGGCTTCTTTGGAGGTTTTTAACAGAGGCTAGATGGCCATCTGACAGCAATGCGGATTCTATGAACTTAGGCAGATCATAAGAGGGAGAGCAGGAAGGGTTGCCTCAGTGCTTAGTTCTTGTGGCCCTTTCTTACATGCCGACCGCTACTTTGGGGTCAGGAAACAATTTTCTCCAGACAGTTTGGCCAGGGATCCTGGAGGGAGGGATTGCCATCTCCTGGGCATGGAGCAGGGGTCACTGGGGGTGGAGGGGCGTATTTGTGAATTTCCCATTGTGCAGGGGGTTGGACTAGATGACCCTGGAGGTTTCTTCCAACTCTATGATTCCACTCTTACCAGCTAT